TTATATTTATATTTACCGAATCTAGTTTTAGAAGAACCTACCATTGAAATAATAGTGCAAAAAAATGAGAAATTTCATTATAATGGCGATAAGTGTCTTATCCACATTCATAAATTATTTTTTATATCACATTTATGAAACATTATAATTATCACCGTCATAACTGTCGTAATTGATATGATGTACCAAAAAATATATAGATTATTTTTTACTTTCGAGTTGAATTCTAAGGTGAGTAGCTTATTTCATTTTTGAAGCTCGTGAACTTATCGTTCTATAAGCTGGACTAGTAAGACCAATAAGATTTTTTTTTTCTAGTCTTTTATTGTTAAAAGTTGAGAGAAGGTATGAGTCGAGCTTTCTCTTATCGATTATGTGTGTTTTGTTTTTTGTCCTATAATTGATCAAACATATTGAGTATTTTAATAGAGAGTATTTTATCTATTAAAGTTCGAATTGATAACGGACAAGGAAATGGTTTCTTTCCACTGCTTGATGCACGGATTGCTCAATGTTCCCTAAAGCTTGAAGTGAACCTTCTTCCCTACTAGATTAGGAAGGTGATTAGTTGAAGAATTTTTCTCTGTTCTTTCTTCCATGGCATCGCAAGGTACCATCAGTACTCTATTAAGAACCACGACCCTCCACAATGGTATGATATTGTCATCCCTCGAACAAAGGGTAACATAGTATACCTTTTGTTCGACAGTTGAGGATTCTATTGACATGTTAGGAACCATGACCCTTTACAATGATATGATACTATCCACTTTGAAGATAAACTCACTTAGCTTGCTTTTGGTTTCATCAGACCTCATACCAATAAAGATAGTATTCCTTACTTATAAACCCATGATCTTCCTCTTAATTAGCCAACATGAGACTCCTCTCCTAACAATCCTCAGCGTAACCTATGGTTCTTCCCGAGTAAAAGTGTTCGACAAAAAAAAAAAGCATCCAAGAAATAGTCTGAAAGTGCAAATGGCTTGAAGGTGTACAAAGAAATTGCCTCAGAAAACTGGGCTTAATAAAAAATATTAGAGAGGAAGCTCCTTACATGGTTCCCAAAGTACCCCAAAATTCTTACCATTTGTCTGAATGGGGAAAGCTTGTTCTCATGGTTGAGTTAATTTATATAGTGTGGATAACTTCAAATTTATGAAGATCAAGAGACTAAAACTAAAACTGTTGGTAATTTCATAAATCATGGCCTACAATCAACAAAAGGTTTGAATATTTAGCCCACAAGGCTTTACTTAGAATGGTCAATAGCCCTATATTATTAAAGATTGCATCCTTTAGGAATGTGGAACAAGCCTGGGAAGCTGAAAATTGAATAGGCTGAACCAAATTTAACTTAACAGTTCCCACAGCCTAAGAAAATGATATCAGAAGAGATGTTCATGTACAAAATGATAATCTTTATGTACGAAGAAGATCAGAGTCAAAATATACAATCAACTAATAATGTTTCTAACCTCATCAGCAATGGGAGTTGCTACTTCCTTCAGTGAAAATCCAAGTAGCAGAGAATGGCCAAACCAGATCCTAATATTTAGAAGTGAAATTTCAAGCCATCTCCCAAGACTTACCTCCTGGAAGATGAAGAAGAAGAAGAAGAAGTGAGTGGAATGTCAAGAAGACATCAAAGAAAATGTACAAAACGGAGCGAGTGAGCGAGTCCAGATGCAGTTTATGCAGTGTTTAATCTCCTCTGAACCATTTCCTGCATTAATCTTTTGGCAGTTTCAGCTGCTTGTCCTACGCCGTCAACTTCAGCAGCGATTTTGTAAGCAATTCTCTCCAGATCTGTTGAGCTCATTCTCTTTTCCCGAGGAGAATCTCTAAGCAAATCCAGTAGCCTGCGAGCTCTATCTTGTGCTTCAGCTGTGCCCTCTACTGTGAGTCTCAAAAGGCCAGGGATTGCACCTTCTTTCAAAATGGGTTCGCGGTATGTCTCACGGCAACTCTGGCACATGGAAAGCAAAACTCCCACTGCATTCTCGGTGCTCACAAGAGATCCATCTTCAACTGTCTGTACTAAAGTTAGTATTCCGCCATCTGAATTGGAGATTGCAGTTCGTCCTTCATCCGAGTTGGAAATGATCTGAAGCAGGGATGTAGTTTTTTCGGCAAACTTCGAATGTTTCTTGCATTCTTTGAGGAGCTCAATTAGAGGGGCAACTGCTCCTGGATCAAGCATCATAAGGCAATTCTCGTTTTCAGTGCAGGCAGATAAATAGAATAGAGCTGTCACTGCATCAACTTTAGCTTGAACACTTCCAGAAATGAGAATCTGAACCAGAAGAGATGTTGCACCAGCTGACAAGATGACCGGTTTATTCGAAGCCGCAGCCGACAAGGTCAGGATTGCTGCAGTGGCTAGTTCCCTCAAACTAAGGTTTTGGAATTTCAGCAGCTCTAGAAGCGGGGGAATAGCACCAGCTGCAACTATTTTTATCTTGTTCCTGATAGTAAAGAAATAATAGGAATGCTGTGAAACAATGTGGGAGATTCAGTTGTATGAGACATAAAACTGAAGCTAAGAAGAGAATCAGCTTATGACCTATAACTCATATAACTGCCTATTCAATTAGCATGTTAGACAAGAGTTCTTATGGTTAATTTAGAAGCCATAGCCCCCAAATGGTTCTTCCTTTTAATAACACAGTTACATGAGAGAGAACAAAAGCCTTGACGAAATTTGTTCGACCAAATCTACAAAATGTAGCAATTAAAATCTAAGTAAACCAAAACTTAAGTCTAAACATGCACGTCCTTACAAAAAATCCGGGTATAGCTCAGAGGATGAAATACCCATTACCATTCTTAATGTTGATAGTTTGATCCCAACCACAAAATAATCATGTTCATAACTTTCATTGCCCAGGGAATAAGTTTAACAAGCGAGTGAACAATCTTGTTAGGAACCACGAACCTCCACAATGGTATGATTAAATGGTATGATTAAATGGTATGATTATTATCCATTTTGGACAATGGTATGGCTTTGCTTTTGGTTTCCCCAAAAACCCTCATACCAATCGAGATGTATTCCTTACTTATAAACTCATGATCAACCCCTTAATTAGTCGATGTGGGACTCCTCAACCAACAATCCTCAACACCCCTCCCTTTGAACAAAGTACACTACAGAGCCTCTCCTAAGGCCTATGGAGCCCTTGAACAGTCTCCCCTTAATCGAGGTTCGACTCCTTCTCTGGAGCCCTCGAACAAAGTACCCCCTTTGTTCGACATTAGAGGACTCTATTGACATGGCTAAGTTAAGGACATGACTCTAATACCATGTTAGGAATCACGAACCTCCACAATGGTATGATATTATCCACTTTGAGCATTAGCTCTCATTACTTTGCTTTTGGTTTCTCCAAAAGGCCTCATGAAAGTGGAGATGTATTCCTTACTTATAAACTCATGATCAACTCCTTAAGCCGTAAGCCATCGTGGGACTCCTCTCCCAACAATCCAGTCGACTGATCCTTCCAACTGGAGTAGTAAATCCAGAATTCAAAACTAAGGTGTCAAGAATGGCATTCTAAAATCAAAACCAAGCTCGCTGCTGCTTACTGCATCTATATCAAAATTTCCAGGGGAAGAAATTAGAGGGGAATAGAAAAGACGAGAAGTTCAGTATCAGAGTATAAATCAGGTTTGTGCTGTGCGGCCTTGATTTTATACAACTAAATGGATTTCTACAAAAGGTCATGAATGAACAGTCGAATGAAAGGATCATGAAATAGCAAAATAAAACCAACGGAAAATAAAAACAGAGATTAACAACCAGGAAGCTCAAAATCATGAGTAAATTAGAACAACTACGGGCATGTAAACCAGAAACTAGCGCGAGAAGAAATGGAAGGAGATGGACAAACCGTTCATTGCGGGAAGCGAGATTGAGGAGGGCAAGAAGAGAGGCCTCACGGGCATCAAGATTGGGAGAGAGAAGCATGCAAACAAGGGGTTGAATCAGACTGGAAGCGCCGAGGTTGGAGCGGGACTTGGGTGAAGACTTACGGGCGAGCTTCCTCAAATCTTTGGCAGCTTCGATTCGGGAGAGAAGGTCGCCATGAATTAGCCTTTGAGAAAGCTGAAAGATCAAAATTTGCTTTTTATGATTCGAAGTCTCCGAGTCTCTCTCGAACACGATCTCATCTTCCTGTTCTTCTCTCCCCTCTTGCTTCATCCTCTTCCGACGCCACACTCTCTCTGAAACTCTCTCCCGTTCACTCTCAGTCTCTCCCCTATTATATTTATTAACATTTTTTTTGGGATATGAAATACCAAATTCTTATAATAAGAATATTAACTTGCGAATTTATTTTATTTTATTGATTAAAATATTACTTAAGGAGTGATTAAGGATTCCTAACGGGTCTAGATCATATATTAAGAATTTAGATGTTCGAATTGTTTCGATTATAATAATATTAATCAAGTAGATGAGGTGTTCTAAAATTAATAGTTTTTAATCATGAGGCTGATGACGATAGGTAAGAGACCAAAACCGACAACTTGAACTATTACAAATAGTATCAAAACTAGACACCGAACAGTGTGCCAACGAGAATGCTAGGCCCTTGAGAGGGTGGATTGTGAGATTTCACATCAGTTGAAGAGGGGAATAAAACATTATTATAAGTGTGTAGAAACTCCTCCTAACATACGTGTTTTAAAACCATGAGAATAACAACGATACATAGCAAATCGAAGCAGACAATATCTATTAGTAGTGTGTTTAGACTATTGCAAATAGTATCAGAGTTAGACAGTGGGCAGTGTGCTAGCGAGGACGTTGGCCCTCAAGGGAGCGGATTGTGAAATCTCACATCGGTTACAAAGAGGAATGAAACATTTCTTATAAGGGTGTGGAAACCTCTCCCTAACAAACGAGTTTTAAAACCGTGAAGCTGACAGCGATACGTAGCAAGCTAAACCGAACAATATATGCTATAATTTCTTTCTAAAATGGAAATTACAAGGGATGGAATGGCCAAAATCAACCCTGTTGGAAGCATAATATATTGTGCCATGAACATAATTACATAACAACACAAATCATTTCAAGTACCTGTTTCCTAATCTACCGTGTGTGAAGTACAAAACTTCTCCCTTTACCTGGAAGCTCCTGCCCACCGTTACAGCCAAGTTTCCTTTTTGCAGTTCACTTTTCCAAGATCATTTCGGTTCAGAAGCAGCAGGGTCGAGTGGAACGGGAGTTGTCGTTGGCATTGGTCGTAGGACGAGATACAAGGCAGGACCCAAGAATGGCACCAACGAAAGTGGAAGAAGCCAAGAACCTTGGTCATACCTGAAATGAATTCATTGCAATGATATGAAACATTGATGTCCAAAAGGCTAACATAGAATTGAATAAGAAGGATTAGAACAAGATGGTAATCGAACCATTTTCGGGCAGACATGTCATTGTAAACCCAAAATGGAGCAAATGAAGATAACAGCATGAAATCAATGCTCGTAGCATGGATCTGCATCAACAACGTTTCGAGATCGAGGTTAGGCTATATGACGTTCCAATGATAGAAAGTTCATATAAATATCTAAACACCAAAACTATTGATCATCAATCAGATTCCAGGAGTAGCAGCAGCAAGAAAATGTTCTTCAACTAGTCTACAAATCAAGCGTTTTAACAACACAATCGATAGGTAGCGCGAGATAGCGAGTACCCACCACAGACATGAAGACATGGTGCAAAAAACTATAACAGTATGCCAAAAACAAACTGCTAGACTTACAAATCTGCTTTCTCTGAAGTACTGATAGAATTCCTTCCACGCACTCTCACCAGCTAATCCAGCATAGAATAATAAGCCTAGTCCTGCAGCAAATGTTATCTGATTCCAACCTGGTTAATTTTCATTTTTAATCGAACTGTTGAAGCAAAAAAGAGAGAAATAGTAATGTGTAACCGCTCAAACCCACTGCTAGCAGATATTGTCCTCTTTGGACTTTCCCTTCCGGGCTTCTTCTCAAGGTTCTAAAACGCGTCCGTTAGGGAGAGGCTTCCGCAGCCTTATAAGGAATGTTTCGTTTCCCTCTCCAACCGACGTGGGATCTCACAATCTACCCCCCTTGAGACCGTTGGGGAGAGGTTTCCACACTCTTATAAGGAATGTTTCGTTCTCCTCTCCAACCGAGGTGGGATCTCACAATCTACCCCTTGAGAGCCCAACGTCCTCATCGGCACCTCACCCGGTGTTTAGCTCTGATACCATTTGTACCAGCTCAAGCCCACTACTAGCAGATATTATCCTCTTTGGGCTTTCCCTTCCGAGATTTCCCTCAAGATTTTAAAACGCGTTCATTAGGGAGAGGTTTCCACATCCTTATAAGAAATGTTTCGTTCCGCCCTCCAATCAATGTGGGATCTCACATGATGATTCTTTTAATGTGAAAAAAGGGTCAGATTTTCAGAAAAGATAATGGCTATGCTACTGTCTTCAACGTTTCTTCAAAACTAGTTTCAACATGAGATGGTTCTCAAAATAATATTTGGCTATGACAATGGTAAAGATAAAGAGAGCACCATCACAATCTTCTTCCAAAAACATTCATGGTAAGGGGAAGAATTTTCCATACCCCAGCAGTAAATTTCGACTCGAGAAAATTCAAAGGCCATCTCTCGAGCTCTTCTTCTTCAACAGGAGGCGGTGGCGGCTTCCAAAGTACAAAATATGGAAGAAGACCATAAGCACCCAAAAAGAAAGACAGTCCTAGGAAAGGCCAGACAGGAACATTGCTATTTGAACTGCACTTGAAAGAAATTATGTCACTATAATGCAATTTGAATTGAACTGGAAGTCCAAAATCTATCTAAGCTGCATGTAACCATCAGATTAAAGCTAACCACACACTGCATTGAGGCCGATGATGTAACGGTCCAAACGCGCTGCTAGCAGATATTGTCCTATTTGAGTTTTCCCTTCAAGGGCTTCCCCTCGAAGTTTTAAAACACGTTTACTAGGGAAAGGTTTTCATATGCTTATAAATGTTTCGTTCCCTTCTTCAACCGATGTGGGATCTCACAATCCACTCCCCTTGGAGCCCAGCATCCTCGCTGGCACACTGCCCGTTATCTAGCTCTAATACCATTTGTAACAATACAAGGCCACCGCTAGTGGATATTGTCCTCTTTTGACTTTCCCTTCAAGGGCTTCCCCTCAAGGTTTTAAAACGCGTCTACTAGGGAGAAGTTTCCACACCCTTATAAGGAATGTTTTGTTCGACTCTCCAACCTAAACCAATGTAAGATTTGCTAATAATCTCAAACACTCCATTGGAGAAAAAAGCTTGAATCACTTGACATGTAGGCTACCCCACTACAATCTATGATACTCATTATCAACTCCAAAAGCTGGACATGGAAACAAAAGGCTTTTGCGTTCAATCAACTCAGTAGCTCAAACATTCTCAGAATGAATGAATTCCAAATTTGGGGGAAGAAGATGAAGGTACCTTCTACCAGAAGGAAGCAGCAGCATGCTGTAGATAAGGGGCCACAACCCCATAATATACCAAAGGGAGACAAGCACTTCATTCATTTTGAAACCATCGTCATTTTTCAAGTTCAGAAGCTTCTTCAAGAAATACAAGTCCGTTGACTGCAAATATTCAGGCAAACATATAAGCATTTGATGCATATGCATTGCAGGAAACATACAGACAAGAAGGCAATCAAGTAATTACCGGAGTCTGATTTGGAGCGAGGATGAAAACATAAAACATAAGACCAGCCCACAATACAAACAGTAAAATCGAAGTCGTCCAGTCTCTGCCCTCCCCACCATTCCCGCCGTTGCTGCTACCGCCGCGCTCACTTTCCACCGGAGTCGCTTTTTCCCCAACTGGGCCACCCGCATTCGGACTTGCCGACGCACTCCGCCATTTTTGGAGCAGACCCACTTTTCTGTAGCTTGAATCTCGACGAGTGTTGATGCCGGGGCAGACCGATGTCGAATACTTGAAGGGGATGATTTGGGGGTTTCGAGTTTGGGTTTTATGGAGAATTCCAAGCTTTGAGAATCTTGAAGGAGGAGACGGTGAGAAAGAGTTGCAGGAGATAAGATTGATATTGGATATCATGTTTGAATTTGGATTTTGATTAGGAATTGGCGACAAGTTTTGTGGGTTTTAGAACGGTGGCGGGAGCGGATGAAGAAACATAAGAATCCGAAGCTTTTTCCGTCACCAATTCATGGCCGACTTGAACTTGATTATAGAAAAACAAGTGTCGAACCACACATTCATTTCTGACTGAGAGCCAATTCTTTCACTCCTGCTGCTTCTGAATTTGTGAAGCTACAGATTTTATGAAATTTTCTTTTAAATAATACTCTATTTTGGATCAACTCTGTAAGTACTCAGTAACATTTTTTTTTTGAAGTATAAAATAATTGTTTATAAACACTTTGAAAATAAATCAAACCAAGTTCTTAATTAATCAGGTGCTTAAGAAATTAGTTGAGGATTAAGCTAAATTTGTTAATTAAGAGTTTTTATATAACAGGTAAAGTCCAAGCTCAAGCCCACTATTAACAAATATTATCCATTTTAAAACAGTCTCATTAGGAGAGGGGAGACGTTTTCCTAAGGAATGTTTGGATTTCACAATCCCACCCCCATTGGGGGTCAAGCGTCCTCTGGCACACTACCCCGTGTTTAGCTTTGATACCATTTTTAACAACTCAAGCCCACCGTAAGTAAATATTGTCCGTTTTAGCCTATTACGTATCGCCATCAATCTCACGATTTTAGAATGCGTCTACTAGAGAGAGATTTCCATACCCGAATAAGGACATACCCGAATAAGGAATGTTTCGCTCACATCTCTAAAGTATCTCATATTTTATTAGTTAAATTTTCATTTTTCACTCTAAATGAACCAATAAAATAAATTAAAATGCTACGAACACACAGTTTTTGAAGATTTTAAGAGAAAAATTGTTGAGAAAAACCAAAACTAAGATAACCAAGATGAAAATTTGAAGTAATAAAGGAACAAGAACTGCTGGAACCTATCTCGAACGCTGGTGAGGCAGGATGGAGGGAGGATAATAACAACCCATTGCATAAAATTTAAGATCACAGAGAAAGAGAGACATTTGAAATCATTAAGGCAAGAAAAAGTGTGAACAAAGAGGATCAGAGCATCATTTCACAACAAGAGGGCAGCAGGGAGGAGGGAAGATGATAAGCAACAATCTCTAATAGTTGCCATTTATGCAGAAGGAAGAAACCTAACAACACAATGATGATTAATCAACTTCATCCCCAAACCCCAAGGAGTTCAGAATTATCCATAAACACATTCTTAATGCAGCTTCAATCTTCAAGAGATAAAGTCTGTGTGTTGATTCTGCTGAACTCCGTTCATCGATCCTAAAAGCCTCACGATTCTGCAGCTTGCAAGCAGCAAAACCATTTTTTCTGCAAATCCCAACTTGAAATCATGAGAGAATAGCAGTGTTCTATTTGTAATATATGGATAGAAAGGTGTTTGAACAACATGGTGCATTTACATCAATGACTCTATCAGTAATAATTTACACTAAATAAACCATGAATGCAAAAGGTTTAGGTGCCAAAACGAGAGAATTTGGTCATTTAAATGTAGCTGTCCAAGCCCACCCCTAATAGATATTATCCTCTTTAGACTTTCCCTATTGGGCTTCCTCTCAATGTTTTAAAACTCGTCTACTAGGCAGAGGTTTCCACACTCTTATAAGGAATGCTTCGTTCCTCTTTCCAACCAATGTGGGATCTCACAATCCATCCCTTTAGAAGCCCAGCGTCCTCGCTAGCACACCGTCCACTGTCTGACTCTGATACCATTTGTAACAACCCCAGCCCACCGCTAGTAGATACTATCTGCTTTGGCTCGTTATGTATCGCCATCAGCCTCACGGTTTTAAAACACGTATGCTAGGGAGAGGTTTCCACACTATTATAAGGAATGTTTCCTTCCCCTCTCCAACCAGTGTGAGATCTCACAATCCACCTCCCTTGGGGGCCAGCGTCCTCGCTAGCACACTGCCCGATATCGGCTATGATACCATTTGTAACAGCCCAAGCCTACTGCTAACAGATATTGTCCGGTTTGGCCCGTTACATATCGTCATCAGTCTCACGATTTTAAAACGTATCTGCTAGGGAGAGGGAGAGGTTTCCACACCCTTAAATGGAATGTTTCCTTCCCCTCTCCAACCAACGTGGGATCCCACATTAAATTTATCTCACAATGTGGCTCCAATGACTACTAGAATATGCTAAGAGTGTGGAGTTAGCAGAGGAGGAGAAATAAATCTAGAAATACACATTTGCCAATAGGTCTAACAAGCATAGTTTCTGATCCCCAGCACTCACAAAACTAAACGAAGAGATTCAGTAACATTTGGCTGCAAGGAACTTACAGGTTGGGGCTTTCCAAGAACAGAACCATTCTTGTATGTGGGGTCATCCTTTGCTGGAGAGTCAGGCATGCCACCAGCCTTTTTCTCATTCCTGGCTTTATTAAAGATTACTGTGAATCCCTCAGCAGATGCAGGGTCGTTCACATCCCATTCCCCGAACTTTGGCAATGGACTGCTACTGCCTTTTTCCTGAAGAATCAACAAACTCAAGGATGGCAGTCATTTCATGGCAATATAGTATAAATGTATACTTAGTTGCAGCTAATTGAGTAAGGTGCTTCAATATTGAGGCACAAGGGAAGTAAGAATCTAAGTAATATCAGTCAAATAAGTAACGAAGGTATGAAGGTTGAGATTCTTCTCCCCTCTTCTTGGGTCTAACGTCTATTCTGAGATCTCACATCAGTTGGGAGAAGAGAATGAAACATTCTTTATAAAGGTGCGGAAATCTCTCCCGAGCAGATGCGTTTTAAAAACCTAGAGGGAAAACCCGAAAGGAAAAGTCCAAAGAAGACAATATTTGCTAACGGTGGGTCTGGGCTATTACAAATAGTATTAGAGCCAGGCACCGGGCGATGTGCCAGCGAGGAGGTTGATCCCCGAAAGGGGGAGGACACGAGGCAGTATATCGGTAAGGACATTGAGCCCCAGGGGGTGGATTGGGGGGTCCCACATCGACCGAAGAAAGGAACAAGTGCCAACAAGGACGCTAGCCCTGAAGGGGGGTGGAATGTGAGATCCCACATTGGTTGGAGAGGAGAACGAAGCATTTTTTACAAGAGTGGGGAAACCTCTCCCTAGCATACGCGTTTTAAAAACCTTGAGGGGAAGTTTGAAAGGAAAAGCTCAACGAGAACAATATCTGCTAACAATGGGATTGGGCTATTACATCTATAACTTTACTGATGGAAGAACATGGTTACAATTCAATAAATCCTCTCTTATCCAAAACAAAAACAGACATACAGAAAACTCATCAGCTGTCCATCAAGATTTATAATAAAAGCGGATTCCCTATATTAACCAACACCTTGCAGCTACCCAACCTCATGATATGAAGAGCCAACGCAATGGCGAGACAATCTCGAAACAATCGAGAATTGCCCAATCGAATATCAGAAACATCAAGAAAAACTTCTGTAGAGCATGGTAAAGACAGAGGAGAAAATGAAAGCCTTCATTAAGCAACACTTCAGATCATCCAAGGAAGTTAGATTCAACATTCATACAAAGCTTACAGACCTAAATACAACACACTCGATAGAACTGTACATGAGATTTCATCTAATCCTCGATGATTCTTAACTGAGACTATCAACTAGCTGTAGGGCATTTGGCAGATCATAGGAAACAAAAAAAAAAAACATCCAGAGCTCAACCTTAACACCAAATCAAACGATATATGTTGGGATTTCGTGTTTGTCTGTAATTTACACATATTTGTCATAGAATGCCAAAGAAACAAGAACCCTCCAAATTTTTCTTCAGCATAAACGTTTAAGAAAACTGATCAAGTGAAAAGCCCATCTAAAATTAGCAAACTAAAAAAACCATGCAGAAAGGGCTAAACCCTTGTAAACACTTCAACAACAAAGAAAGTGGGTGTGGGCACAAAGGCAAAAGCAATCAACAAAGGTAGTAAATACAGAACCAGAAGAACCAGATTCATTTCATAAAACCCTCCAATATTTAAAAACCCCTTTAACAATCAAATAAAAAAGCTCGAACCCAAGAACGAACAAGCCCTGAAATCAAAATCTGGGGCACGTTAAGAGAGATTAGCGATGAAAGAAATTTGGGTGTGAGTGGATTTCTTACCGCCATGAGTGGGGTTTGACGAGAAGATGGTGGCGATGATGGATTTTGAAGGTAAAGGAGTGTATGGTTGATTGAGAGAGAAGACGGGGCGTGGGAGTAGGACAAGAGAAGGAGTTGGGTAATGGGATATTATAGAAGTGGAAAGCGGGGCCCTTCGTCTACGCAGCTTCGAAGGACGTTTAACGGTGTCTGCTACTTCCAGCTGTTCAAATCCCAATCGCCAACGCCCAGACGACGAATGAAAGACAACAACTTTTAAATTCAACCTCTTTCTCCCTTCGAATATGTCCTTTTTATTCTCACTTTCTTTCATCACGTTTCAAAGTTTTCAAATCTAAGTTTGATTCTAAATATTCATTCAACTTATGTATGAATAGGTGGATTGAATATGAGTCTCGAAATCTCGAAATCTCGAAATCTCGAAATAGTAGACGTCTTTTATGGTTATACTAACGAACTAAAGTAAACAAGAGCTGTTACAAATAATATCATAATCAATTTTCGTAACGAAATAGTGGGTTTGAACTATTACAAATGATACCATAGTCAAGTTATGGAACACACCAAAACGGACAATATTTATTAACGGAGAGCTTGGACTGTTACAAATAATATTATAGTCACGTTAAATAATGAGTCAAAACAGACAATATTTACTAACGATGAGTTTAGGCGGTTACAAATGGTCAAATTATGTAACGGGCTAAAACGGACAATATTTACTAATGGTGGACTTAGATTTTTAGTATAATGATTGCACGATTATGAAGTAAATTATTGACCTTATCTTCTTATTTGTTCATATTGTATACATCGGGCATTTGAAGCTAATCGAAGCATTTTGAAAGATTTAATACAAAAAAACGAAGTTATATTTGTCTATGATTTAAATTATAATTGAATGACTATATATTCCTACGCTCCTACGCGTTAGAGTAAAACAATATATATTTACTTTAGAGGTTCCGACAAGCCTTGACCCATACACGGCACATTTCGAAAGAAAACGTCTCGGCCCGACAGGCCAACCCAGCAAGCCAATCAAACTGTCTACAAACCAACCAGCCAACATAATGCACAAATGTTGCCATACACATTTATGCACCTAAAACAGGCCCCCTCCTGAACATGGAGAACATCCCACAACTCGTGCGGGCCTCCAATGGTGCCTATTATTAATATGATTCAATATTTAATACCGATTACGATTGTAACACGTAATCGTAACAGCCTAAGCCCACAACACGTAACTGTCCTGGATCGGATCAAATATACTGTAAAGAATACAATTCATTTATAATGAAGGTCATTGTTCTAAGGACTAAACCAGGTATACACCAGCAGCTTCTTCTCTAAACTGCCTTGTTTTTCTGTCATTCAAATAAGCTTTTGCTCTAACAAATAAATAGAGAAAAAAGACTTCTATACTTGCGTGCTTCTTGGATTGTGTAGCAGAGTTTCTAATGAATGGTTATTGAATATATACGAAAAAGTTGACGACGTTTCGAGGGTCAAAACTCAGATCATTTTCTCTAATTTGTCAAGCCATTTAACTCTTCGCATACCTCGAACAATGAGCACCATAAAAACTCCTGCATTTCATGAGCAGTCGAGGTGAAATTTGAACTTCAAAACTGAACTTACGCCATTGAAAAAGAACTCACCTGCTCCGATGAACGATCCACCCGCAACAGCTTGGTTGCCTTGAGAGATCAGGGTGATACCGAGGTTCAAAAGGGTACCGCCCATCACGGTGTACATCGTTGTCATCTGAAGTATTGTTGCTTTCCTTGCTGCTCTTTCAGACTAAGAATGGAATATTGTAGAGTTTTCAGAAGTGAAATCATAGTTAAGTCAAGGATCTCGTATTAAATATGTACCTCTAGCACTCGGACTCGAAGCTTTAAGTCCCCCGACTCGAGCTGTTGTACGAATTCCTCTATTTTTTGGACTCTGTATGGCATGGAAATGGTGGATGTTCTTGCCTGAAACAGTATTTTGTAAGAAGTTGCACTCTATAAAGACAAAATTCAAAGAAAGTTATGTACATCATTGGCTTGTTTTCTTATCTCCTGCACAAGTTGTGTTCCGCTTCGCTCCTTTTTTAACTCTAAAAGCTCCTGCACATCTCAGTTTTCACAGAAATAACTAGAAAAACCTTCATGGATAACCAAAAGAACAGTGAATGGATCATTTGATAACACTATAAACTAAAATTATTCAAAGACGACACAACGAACCTGTGCATATGGTGCAGCGATCTTCACGAACGAAAAATCTGGGTCGAGCATGTAGCCTATACCTGAAACAACATTTGATTCCTCAGTTGAGAGCAGACGCTTTGTCTAGTCGAATTTGGTCATTCTTTTGAAAATATGAAACAATGGTTTCAACTTCAGTATTAAAGCATTAGAGAGTGAGATGAACCTTCAAGGGTAGAAAATGCCCTCAAGACAAAGGTAAAGGTGGAAGGGAATCGAAAAGGTTGATCTTGAGCTATTGCAAATAAATCCTGCCACACGCCCACGCTTGAGTTTATAAAAGAGACGATACGATATGTGATGAAACCAAGCATTTGGCATTTGCTAAACCGAATGTTCACTTACCTCGCCGATTGCTGCTAGAGTCTGCTGTTGGTCTGGTGACTGGCTCAATAGGTTGTCCAAGAAGAATTGAATGGATCTCCTCACCTAAATGCAGAATTTACAAAATGATGGACCATAAAAAAAAATAGTTCGTAGATCTATATTCAATCTATACGGTGAATACCGATGACATGTCTCCTGTCGGCTGAAGTGCTTCGAGATCAATGAGCCTTTGCATAACCTGCATTGTTGTGCCATTGTCAGCAAAAGTAATACCATACAACAGATGCATCAACCAATTTGCAGCATTCCGATTAATCAAATCACATGATATAAGTATGGTTTGCATCCCTTTTACTATAATTGTGAGATCCCAGGTCTGTTGGAGAGAAGAATGAAACATTTTTTATAAGGGATGGAAACCTCTTTAGACGCGTTTTAAAAAGACCTAAAGAGGACAATATCTGCTAGCGGTGGGTTTGGTTGTTATAAATGGTATCAGAGCCAGATATCGAGCGGTGTGTCAACGAGGACGCTGGACCCCGAAGAGAGGTGGATTGTGAGATCCCACATCGATTGGAGAAAGAAACGAAGCATTCCTTATAAGGGTGTGGAAACCTCTTCCTAGCAGCGCGTTTTAAAAACTTTGAGGGGAAGCCCGGAAGGGAAAGCCCAAAGAGGGACAATATCAGCTAGCGGTGAGCTTGGGCTATTACAAATGGTATCAAAGTCGGACACCGGGCAGTTTGCCAAAATCATTTGATATTAAAGAAATGTAAACCTTTTTTGCATCTTTCTCATAAACCGCATAGAACAGGTCAAGCAGCCGCTCTCTAGTGAAGGATTTGATTTCCCCCATCATACCAAAATCATAATATATGATTGCTTCATCCACATCAATAGCAAGATTTCCCGGATGAGGATCAGCATGAAAGAAACCAGTCTTCAATATCTGAAAGATTAGAGAAGTACATCACTTAATTAATACAGGACGATCCTCTAATTAAACAACTCTTAACGTGGAAGACGTGCAAAGAACAAAAAATCATTAAATCCGACTCACAGCCCTGACCTGAATTAAGTAAGCTTCAATGGCATGTGATGAAATTCGAGAGCGATTAAAGCCACGTGAATCTAGAACCTTCAGCTGGTTTATCTTAACCCCTGTACATAAGATAGCGATGTCATTTTTAAGTAACACTGCAGCATGCCATGATGTAGATTGTAATGTATTATTGAAAGAACGCGTTGCTCGGGGTCGAACCTGGTACATACTCTAAAGTCAAAACCTTCAAAGCTGTGTAGTCCCAAAAGACGAGCTAAACAAAAGAGTGCTTTTAAAAAACAATAATAACAAAGAAATATAGGAAAAGGAAGCTTATTTAGACAAGATTTGTAGGCTGACTTATAGATTATTGAGCAAATTTTTGTTCTCTTAGATAAGAATCGAAAAAAATACTTCGTGTTCTGAATGAAGGGACGTACAGGTACTCGAACCCACTTTATATTACGAAAATCCCTGCGAAATCTATCAGCATTTTTGCCTTCATTTATGTAGTCAATTTCTTGATACAAAATCCTGCAACCAGGAAACAGATCACGAGTCAAAAACTAATGGAAACATCATAATCAACCTCGTTTAATGAAGAAAATCGACACGTCGTTTATACACAAACAATTCATGATGAACATTGACATGGGGTCATCTCCTAAGCATGTGTGAATAACGAAACATGAATAGTCATAAAGTCCAGCTAAAATGGAATAAGCTATTGTTTGGAGGATAATTTTCGTGATGGTCATATCTTCGATCTTATAAGTAATTGCATGCACCTTGACCATTCTCACAAGACAACCGTACCTTAACAATTCTCATAGGACAACTGCTTGACCCAACTACATTTAGTTACCATGACCACTGTGATTTGAACCAACTCTCTCTAAACCATTTATTATTTACATTCGTCGTCACGAACCACTAAGCACGGGGCCATAAATTGTCGTATCTTAGCCATTCCAAAAAAATATTGTCCTTATATTTAAGAATATGTTACAGAACCAAATGCATTCATACAGATGTGCGGCCTCCAATAAAAACATCTCATTTTATAACAATGAAAGATAGCTGTTAATGATATCAACTACTTACGTAGCACATTCTTCATAGATACCAATCCAGTCTCTTGAAGCACCACCAAAGGTTTCACTTCTTTGAAAATACTCTGCAATTAGCTTCAAATTCCCTGTTGATGGAGTATAAACAACAGTAGAACTCAATATATAACGTCGATGAAACGTCTCAAACTTAACAAACCAGAACCTAATCAACACTAACTTTCCAGGTCATATGGCCAATCACAAACTTATAAGATTCTATGACCAAAAATGTCCAAAATAAGCAGCCGTGTCTGTCGAATCAGCTGAAAAGTATTAACTAGCTTGTTCTATCCTCAAGGAACCAAACTGAGAAAACCATCACATCAGAGTCTACACTTATCTCTAAGTGTTTGTTCGTAAGGAGTAAGGTAGTTACTTATTTTGTGTCTAAACGTCAAACCTCAGTATCTCTACCCCGGCCCATAATGGGTTCTGATGATCCCAGAAGGAGTATCTCTACCCCAACCCAGAATGGGATGCAGCCCAGAGTATGTGAAACATTGGTTAAAATTAGTTTATTATCTCTGTTCTTTTCCAGCAGGGATCAGCAAAAATCAATTCTTACGTAGATCAATGTCGAAGAGCTTCTTGAGACCAGGCCTTTGAACTTTTACGATCACCCTCTCTCCGTTATGCAGTATTGCACGATGGACCTAAAGATGATATTATCCGAATCAATGGTGAATGTGTACAAGTAGAGATAATATGTTAAGAAAGAACTAGACTTGATCTAAATGCAAGTAACTTTCACTTTTTGCATGTTCCTTTTAAATTGAAATGAAACAAGCACCTGGCAAAGACTTGCAGCAGCGATAGGACGGTCCTCGAATTCTTTGAACAATGTATCAATGGGGGCGTCCAGTTCACTCTCAATGAACCCTCTTGCTTTCTTTGGAGAGAATGCAGGGACTTTATCCTAATTATACATTGTCAGAAACAAAAATCTTCAGCAGAGACATCAACCATCCTGTAATTTTAATATCTGAACATCCCCGTGAGCGTGAGGCTATAGGCATTCAGGAACTCGATTAAAATAGTAAATACCAATGAGATACCTGTAACTTAGCAAGCTCGTCCACATACTCACGTGGAAACAGATCTGATCTTGTTGAGGAGAGCTGTCCAAGCTTTATAAAAGTGGGGCCGAGCTGCAGCACACGCTCCCGCAACCAAGAGGCAGTCTTTTTCCTTCTTTTTTTCTGGATGGGAAGTGTGATTGAATTAAAGAAAAATACAACGTTCTAGTCTAGAAACCGAAAAACTAACAAAAAGTGAGGTAGTGCAGAACATAACTATGACTACAGGAAAGTATTTAACCTGCTTATCTTCAAAGCCTCCAGCATACGTCCATTTTGCATTTTCTAAGAAAACACGAACCCGTAAGGAAATGACGAAACTCCAAACATCGATACTCCTTTGGAAAGAGTTATAATTTTCATTAGCCCAACTGAAACCCTCGTCTGAGGGCAAAACCTTAAGACCCTCAATTGGTGGGAGCTTCTTTGAGTCTGTAACATTTGTTCTCTTAACCAATGGCGGAGACGGGCTGCGCTTAACTACATTTGTCCCGTTGATAACTTGCTTTTTACCATTTATGTTCTCCACTTTATTGGCAGATACAGCTCTCTTTTTCACTACTTCATTTATAGGTACCATCTTAACAGCTCTTCCATTAGTTCTTAACCTCGGGGGCGATGAATTCTGTTGCATTTCATTTCGAACACTGAAATGTTGAGAACTTGGAGGACTCCAAGTTGATTTCTCAATCGTATTGAATGTATGAAGTGAAATTGATCTTGAAAAACACAGATCATAGCCTTGTTTCCCTTTCCCCTCGTTTAACCTTGCTTCGCGGCGATAACAGCTGTGGGAAGCCAGTGTTGCCGCCATCCAAGTATAGTGCCTGAAAATAGGAAAACGAAAATTATGGTCAATAGCCATCTCTAGCTTGTCAAATGGATTAAGCTGGAGCGTAAATATAAAGACAAAAGGCATAAAAACAAGCGAATTTGCTCTTTGGGATTACAGAGTTCTTGGCTGCTCAAAGCATTCTAGCAAAATAATGGTCAGAAATCAAAGAAACAGAAAATCCAGCTACGGTCAGCTGAATAATCACAAATCCCCTATTCAATTAAAGAACTGAAGGTTTAAATATCATGCAAACGATGGGAAAATATCTGGTTTAGGTACAAAAACAGAGAATGAAAGTGATATATTCGCTACCTCCCGTGTTTAAAATCCGAAAACAAATAGAAAACACAAGAGAAGAACGGAACACCAAAATAAGAATCTCTGTTTACTACTTTTGTTCGAACATGTTCTTTTGATCAAACATTCAATTGTTTCAATGATTCCATAAACAGAACTCAGCACACACTGCAATTTTGCGAGAAAATAAAGAGACCCCAAGTCGAAATTGAGTGAATATACCAAAAATTTCAGTAGAAATCAACAGACGCAAGCAGAAACTGACCCAGATTAGAACAGCAATGTATCTAAACTCGAATTGGGGGTTGAGAGAAAAATATGGAGATGTAGTAAACTTGGGCAGTATTAAGAAAGACGTTTCTAGCAGACGGAAGAAAAAAAAACAAGAAAGATGTGATGGAAACGTCCTGGGTGTCACTGTTGTTTCGAATTCTCGGCGTCCAAGCTACTAAAAACAGGTGGGAGCGTCTAATAATGAAATGGGTTAACGACAAAAACAGAAAGGAAAATCTGTAGGGTTCGAACTGACCTCTAAGTTTCTTGGTGCGTATTGGAGTTGATCACTGGTGGAGTCCATTGAAACTTCACTGCTACTCTGATTTCTTTTCACAGCAGATGGTAGTTGAGCGGATTGAGCCATTATTGACGAAAACAGAAAGCGTGGAGAAAACGTTTTTTCAATTGGGAATGGAGCCGTCGTGGGCATCTATGAATCCGTGATTTCAGGCGAGCCGGCACGGGTGCCGGGTGGGGCTAAATCTGTGTCCATGAAATGCAATGCATAATTTTGGAATGTTTGTATAGTCATGAAAAAGTTGAGTTATTACTTTATTTTTATCTAAACTCTCATTAATATAGTTTAATTTCAAACAAATATTTTAAATATCCATTATGTTTAGTTTTTGCTTTTTAAATCTTTATTTCTTTTAAAAACAATCTTTTACTTTGGTTCATAAAGAATAAAATATATATATATATATATATATATAACCAGCGTAGACGCCGTAGATAATGAAAAAGATTGGGGAATAACAAGCATGAAATTGCACACAATCAGCCTTTGAGAGAGGGGGTGTATCTTAGATCTTAGTCTTAATCTTAGGTAGACAGGATGTATTCTCATTTTGTTTTTAGGGTTCAAAGTGGGATACCTTCGTAGACAGGATGTATTCTAATTTAGGGTGTGTTCCTAAATGGGGTACCTTCTGTTTTTGTCTTAACCTTCGGCTGACTGGATCTGGATCCTTATGTATTCTCATTTTGATTGGTGGTGTATCGACTTTGTGGAGTGGTGTATCGACTTTTAGAGTGGTGGCTAATCGACTTTTGGAATATTGGCTAATCGACTTTTTGGAGTGGGACAGAATTACACAATTTTTGTATAATACTGCAATGCTAAAGAGACCCCAATGCCAATTTCTGACTAATTTCTGTATATATATATATAACTTAGTGGATTAATATTATTAAAAAAATAAAATAGGAAGCTTCTATTCTATTTTAAAATTAGTAGTTCTATTTTACCCAAATTCTTAAATAAATTTCCTAAGTCTAGAATGATATAGGTTTATAAACAAATAATACAATCTCAATTGATGTGAAGTTTTTGGGAAGCCCAAAGCAAATCTATGAGCACTTATGCTCAAAATGGACAATATCATAATATTGTAGAGAGTCGTGTTCGTCTAACATGGTATCAAAACCATGTCATAAACTTAGTCATGTTAATAGATTGGTAAATCCTAAAATGTCGAACAAAGGACTCCAAAAAAAAAATAAGTCAAGCCTCCTGATCGGGCCTCGATTAAGGGGAGACGTGTTTTGTTAGAGAGGAACTTATACTTAAAGTGGACAATATCATACCATTGTGGAGAGTCGTGGTCATCTAACAAACTCAACCCATTATTTAACTTACTACCTTCGACTACGGGGAGTTCAGAGCTGAAGAAGCTAAACGACACTCGACCACCGCCGCGTCTACATCTTCGGCGTTGGCGGCAACTCCGGCAACACAGTATATGGAAAATGGATCGCTTCTTCGATCCGATCCAAAAGATATGGGCCCAAGTTAAAACAAGAGAAGGAAATCCCAGTGACATCGGACACTTGGGCACCGAAAAGTTGATGGGCTTTGGGATTGGGCTTGGAGAATCAACATGGGCCGAGGAGGAGGCGAAATTGGGCTGTGTATTTTGCATAATTGGGCCGGAGGTTACTCTTGTACAAAAGCAGCGTATTATCACATCCCTCTTACACAAAAGATTCACAAATTACAAAGAGAAAAAAAAAAAAAAAAAATAGAGAAAATTGACAGAGACCCATAAAGTAGTTTTTCCACAACTTTCACAATGACCAGAGAAAGACCTGAAATGAGAGGGGGAAAAATTATTATCAGCTTCCTAAAAATGTCATCCATCAATGATGCTCTAAAGTTTGAGAGAACCTTTAAAAGGTTCCAACTAGCAGCCACTTAGCTTGACCTTGCAGCAGTCCCACGACACCACCATCGCCGCCGCCTCCACTACCGGGAACCACTATTTCCTTCCTTCCCTCCGCCGATTCCCATGTGGTGATATCCACCACTACTACCATAAACGCCTCCCTGATGATGCCCCATCATCATCATCCCACCATACATTCCACCCACTCCGTTAAATCCACCGCCGCCAACACCACCACCACCAGTACTAGAGTTGACTCCGCCACCACCACCACTAGCACCACTGCCGCCGGGCCCACCACCACCACTACCGTCTTTCTCCCCCTGTCTCACCATAGTGCTCTTTTCCCCTTCCAATTCCCTGTACTTCTGCAGATAAGTCTTGAGTGGTTCCACATACTCTTCGAATCCTAGCGTCGTCATGGCCCACAGCAAATCGTCGCCGTTGATTGTCTTCCTCTTCTCTCTCTGGCACTTGTCCGATGCCTCTCCTGTTATGAAGCTTATAAACTCCGATACGCACTCTTGTACCGTTTCTTTTGCATCTTTTGAGATCTTCGCGTTTGCTGGTAACGCCTTCTTCATGATCCTACTCACGTTCGCTATCGGCAAGAATCTGTCCTGCTCCTTCGCAGACAGCTCGCTGTTCGCGTTGCTGTTGTGCCCTCCCGATTCGTTATCCGATTCCGCCATTTCCAAACGCCTCTCACACTAATTTCACAATCTCAACCACTTCCTCCTTCTAGGGCTCTCAAAGTAGACTTGATTTCAACGATGTATAGCTACGATACGAACCTTTTCTCCTCCCGATCCATTCTCACAAGAATAGTCCCAAAAACTTTCTTCAATTATCAATTTAGGTTACGGAAAGAATACAGACGGAATCCTTTCCACTTTTCGCTATAAAAATTGACTGATACGATTCTTTCTCCTACAGAATAAAGAAACAAAGACGGAAGAAGAGAAATCGAATCGCTCAACTCTGCTGTGTTGACCTAAAACGCCTAACCACGATTCCAGTATCGTATCACAAACAACAGATTATCATCAGCAAAGTTCTTCTTCCGCGCCTACCAGAAATTCTCAGAAATTAAAAGAAGAAAAGGAAAACTCGGTCATGAATTGAAAAAGAATCAAATAATAGTCAGAGACTAGATGAGTCCAGCGCCCGGGACGCGAACGGAAAAGAACACCCGATTATCCTGCAATTGAAGATACAAGAAGAAAATCAAATTGCATTAATAGAGAGAGATGATGAATGATATTTGCAGAGTTCTGTTTTCCGATCAAGGATTACCGGAATCTGTACGGATGCCGTAAAGCCGGTATTGGAATTCCGAATATTAGAGAATCGAGAAAGTCGCCGCCGGAGAAGAAACACTCCAAGAAAACAGGTGAAGGGGTGCTGCACAATGGGAGTTGTTAAGAGTCCGACGGGTCGTTTGGGCTAATAATGTAATCGGGAGCGACACGTGTTTCATTTCTCGCCGTTTATTTGTCGATAAGAGTAAGCTTCGTGGAAATATTTGGGCCGTTAGATTGGGGGAGGACCGGCGTTGATCTAACAGTGTAAAGTTTGCTACGTGGCAAGCGACTATTTGTTAATAGTCTTGTATTTGTTTTATGTAGCCTCCTGTATTAGCTTTTTGTTCAATTTTATTTGTTTATTATCTAAAGGCTAATTGTGTATTTTAATTTATAAAATAATATTTGAATTATAAAAAAATCATAAATAAACCAAAAGTATAGAGAATAAAATGAAAATATTAAATAATTTAATAATAATGACTTAGAATAATATTAAACAATTGTTTATTTACTAAAAAGTCACTCCAATTAAGGTTGATATTAAACCACTAACTAAAGAGTAATTAAAAATTCAGTATAGTACCCCACAATAGAGTGGTGCTAATAATTAAAGCTGTTGAATGAAAATTTGTAATTAACTATTTTCCTTTTTTTCTTATTTTTTTCCATTTTTAAAAAAAATTATATTCGTTAATCAACCTAATGAATTATTATTAATTTATTTGGACACATTTAAATTTCTAGTCTTTCATAAATTACTTTTATAATTTCAAGTAATTATATTATAAATTTTAATATTTAACGAAAGAATCTTTAATTATTATAAGACATACTCTTTTTTTATTATTATTATATATTTGTTGATGAATAGTTTTGACCGGTAAATCTTGCCGTACTTGAAACTATGAGCTGAGGCAAAATCTAACGTTTTAAGTGTTTTGTTACTCTACTTCGATTTTTAAATTAGTATAATTCAACCGACATAAAATATAGATTTTAAATATTTATAAAATGTAGATTTAATTTGAAGCTGGAGATAAAGGCATTGGTCTGTCCAAGACAACCCTCTTCCCTAGCTCTACTTTTGGGCCTAATACCTATGATCCAAAATTTGACCACTTCTACTGTATCGTTGACTTTGGCATGTTATATATTACTGTTATCCTCATTGTTTTAAAATGCGAGAGACTCTAGTCTTATTCCAACCAGAGTTAGTTACCAAATAACAATACCTAATAGGTAAAAACGGATAATATTGCTAGCGATGGACTTAAGTTTTTACAAATACAATAATTGAGGTAACAAATACCTTCTAATTTTGTTTCGCACCTAAGTTGTTATATCAATTTTCATCTTACTATAACAAAACGAGAAAATTTAGATAGTAAAAATGAAAAGGGAAACCCCATCTAAAGAATTTAGCACAATCCATAAC